TATATATATATATATATATATTTTACAAGCCAACATGAAACTTTGCCATCACATTGATGTAAATATAAATTACATCAAAAGTAGCAAATGTGCTTATTTGAAGATGAAATATAATAGATTGTCTTTATTATTGATGATGTATTTCATAACTGAAGAGAAATTAAATATTTGCACCAGTTACTGCAAGGTTAACTTACTACTTACTGCTTTGTCTTTATAAATACTTTTAGCTCACCTGCATATTGTTTCCATTTAGCAGTTTGATATTTGAAACCAGTGTTTCTCAACCATGCTCCTAGAGGACCACAAGCACTGCATGTTTTGGATGTTTTCTTTGTCTGTCACACCCATTACAGGTTATTGATGATCTGAATCCAGTGTGTTTGGTTAAAGAGACATGGTAAATGTACAGAGCTGGTGGTCCTCCAGGAACATGGTTGCGAAGCACTGTTATAAATATACTCAATATATGTAACTAATATAACGCATGCATCACTTTTTGTTTTTCATTCTAGCTGACATAGTGAATGAGCCTCTGCTGAGGAAAAATGGCGAGTGAAGAGGAGCAGCGAAAACTTCCACAATATCATATTCTGGTGTCTTCATCTAACTTTTACAGCTGAACTTTCACATTTACTGTAGGTCTAAATAAAGTTTGGTTTGAGGTCTTAAAATATCTGTCTGTACATTCATATATTTTCTAGAAACCTAAACTTGTGTTTTGTATTGAAACAATTACAGACTTTAGAAGATCAGTTTCAGCAGTGTTCATGGAAAACCTCTTAACTTTATTGATTTGTACTACTTTTGTTTTTATTAATAACTTTCAACTGCTTTTTCTGAGTGAATATTTTTAAAAATGAATGAAGAGAGAGAACATGTATAGAAGGACAAACAAAACTGGATGATGGAGAGCTAACAGAGATCGATAATAAAATTAATTACTAACCATTTTTGTGTTGTTATGTTTGTTAAAAATGTTATTTTTTAGGATTTGCACAAAGTGTAATTTTGTCTTTGCTTTTGTATTGTATGCAAGGTAAACAGGCCAAACAGCTTCCAGAACAAGAAATAAGCGTAGGGAGGGACCAGATTTTGTCTGTTGGGTGCTGATTGAGTCATTGCATTTGTTATCTTTTGCTACTTGTGGATCTCATTTGATTGGCAGGTTGCCCCATCCTCATGTCTATGATCATGTCATCAGAATAACGTCAGTGTAAAAACAAGGGGAAGCTATTTTAATTGAGAGTTACATGAGTAAAAGTATAATAACGTTCTCAGATGGGTTAAAGCAATGCAAATTTCCTTAAGAATAAGAACCGTCATTTAGATTTTAATTCTCGAACACAGTGTACTACAGCTGAAGTCAAAATGATGAGCCCTCTTGTAGTTTTTTTTTTTCTTTTTCAAATATTTCCCAAATTGTGTTTAACAGAGCAAGGTTTTTTTTTTTTCACAATATATCCTATGGAATTGTTTTTTTTTTTGTTTTTTTTTAAAGAAAGTCTTATTTGATTTATTTCAGCTACAATAAAATCAGTTTTTAATATATAATTTAAAAAACAAACATTGTAAAGTCAATAGCAATGTTTACTTTTCGATTTTGTTAATAAATTATCATTATACAATGATTTGCCTAATTACCCTAACTTCCTAAATTGCCATTTAAGCTGAATACTAGTACCCTGAAAACTATCTAGAAATATTTTATGTACTGTCATCACTGCAAAAAGTGATGATTGGAAATAAGGTAATGGTTTTAATGTTTAGAAATGTGTTGGAAAAAATCTGTTAAACAGAAAACGGGGACAAAAAACATACAGGGGGGCTAATAATTCAGGAGGACCTATAAATCATCTGACATCATGTGACTGTATGTGAAGTATTCATATGTGATTTCATCACACTAAATGTGTGGATTTTTTTATGATGGTCCAGTATTCCAATGTGTTAAATATAGCTATTCAATAGGTTTTAGTCATTAAAATGTAGTAATTCCAAAAACTAAATTTGAAAAATGTGGGTACTACGTAAATCAAATCCCTCAAAAACATACCACATATAATAATATTACGATGATGTCAAAGATAAAAGTTGAACTTAAAGAAATTCCCATTATTTAGGCTTTGTAAATAGCATAATAGAAACTTTTTTAGAAACTATTATTTAAGATTTTTGAATCATCTGAAATTATAAAATATTACACTTTATTCCCTTCTCACGGAATTCAGTAGTCCAACTGCATAAATCAGACGTTCTGCTTCCTGTTTTCACTTCTATGAGCTGACTATTATAGTCTTAAATGCAAGCAGAAGTGGTACAGATGAGTTAAAGTGCAACATTCATTTATTCAACAATGATATAAAACAATATAATTTCAGCAACTCAACTCCAGCAACCTCTGACAATCGTCAGGTACACACACAAATTGTTCCATGATAGACATTAGAGTCTGTTGTGTCTGATTGTTCTCCTCTTTTTAGTGCAGACCTATTTATATATTTATAAAAACATAATTGGTGAGAAAAATATTCATGTAACAGAAAGAACTTGCATGCACTGACATGGGAAGAAGCACTAATGACAACAGATTCAAAGCTTTGGCCATTTTTACCATCATAATACAGGTATTCAAAAACAAGCAGCTAATTTTAAACAGAAAATAACCTAAACTAAAATGAGCAACCCAATTATTATAGTGTGAATAACACCATCCAGTTACTGTATATGGTTTGATGTTTGGCACCTTCAGATGAGGAGGTACATGTTGAAGTGTCTGAATGAGGCCGTTTTTATCTTTTCTTGAATGAGCTGAAGTAGTTTTTAATGGTGTTCTCGATGTTAGGCACTTGATAGCTCTGAGCGGCGTAGATGCCTGTGCAGGTCCCTATAAGAACTCCCAGAATGGCGGAGGAACGGAGCTTCGCCACCACATAACCAGCCAGAAAACCTTTGAGGAAGGGAGAACTGAGCACACTTCCACCCTAAAATGAGGAAGAGTGCAAAACATTGAGATTCAGAGAAAAAACACACATCTTCTTTAAGACAAACAACCATATATGAAGCTTTACACATTTTCCAGCTCGAAAAATGAAAGCAAACTTTTTGGAAAATGTCTGTCTGTTATAAAAAAGTTCACCCAAGAACGTATGATTTGCTCACCCTTGTTTCAAACCTGTTGGAGTTTCTTTCTTCTGTTGAACATAAAAGCTATGTTGAAAAAAGTCCATAGTATATGTTTTTCCTACTATGTGAGTGGTTCCAGGTTTTTAGCTATTTTTAAAATATCTTATTTTGTGTTCAAGAAAAGAAAACACAAAGTTGGGAACCACTTGAAGGAGAATAAATAGTGAGTAAATTTACATTTTTGGGTGAAATATCCCTTTAACTGGCTCTAACAGCAAAAGAATAAAAAAAACACTTTTAAAACAGAAAATAGCATCAAACTGTAAAAAAAAAAAAAAAAAAAGAAAAAAAAAGATTTTCATTGCATTATACATCTTCAAAAACCAACCTAATTTGAGCTTAGGTCAATTCACCTGCTGAAGGCATCAGCCTGTATTACTATTACTTATATTTAAGTAATCATGCTTAACGGAAGAATTCTTATTTAAAAACTACATGACTTATGATATTGTTAAAAATTTAGACAATCAAAAGAAGGAAAAAGAGTCAATTTGTGTCATGTCACTATTTCAGCAGTGCTGACTCCAGAAAACACTACAAACAAACTGGATTTAAAAAAAAGCATAAATCATCTATGAACAACTTTATCTCTCATAGCAGGTCTGTCTTTAAAAGTTCATGTTATCCTATATTTAATCTAAGTTATGCTTGGGCTATGTTGATTAATTTGCCATTGCATGATGCCTAATGTGAAACATCACGATGGACAATGGCATCGTCGTTGTGGGCGGCGGTGAATTAATTATTCATGAATATTTAAATAACTACCTGACCCACATGGTCTTTATTTAACCCATAACCAAATCATAAATACATAAAAGTTACACACAAATTACCACCAGTCAATCCCTTTTTCCGCAGGACTCTGGCATGAATAGGCAGAGTGATGTGTTGTTATAATGGTGTCGACAAACTTGGTCGGTAAAAAAAGGTGCACATCCAACAGGAATCAACCAACAATATCTGAGGTTTTCGCTAAAATTAAGTACAAGAGTGAAAGTGAGAGATTGAAGCAGTGTACTGACGCTGTGACATGTTACCTGATAGATCTAAAAGACCAAAGAGTCATTAGATACAGAGACAAAATTAAATAAATATTACATTTAACAACTATAGTGAGATGCGATCCAGCAGTACATCCTTGATAAACTGTCCGATGTGCACTACTGTCAGGGGTTTGTGGTCAAAGCACCCGCTAACTGCTGGAGAATTGTGATGCCGGCTCAGCATTGTGATGTCTATTGGCCATCTGTAATGAACTATGGCATCGTCTATCAACCAAACTGTAATCTAAGTGAATGTAATTCTGACTGTTGCACCCATATACCAATGTGAATGGCGTAACTAAATGAATATCTCTCTTGTCTCAAACTACTTTAAAAAACAGAATAATTTTATGTATAAAAACATAATAATATTAACTGGATTATTAAAAAATTAAATGTACTCTTTATAAATACACGATCGGACTTCCGTTAATGTCGCCTTTGGTATAGACGTGAGTGCGATCAGCTCCCTTTAACTTTTCATTTCTTCTTTACAAACCTCGTTGTTTTAGAACTTTTTGGCAACCTACATTTATTTACTTTTCTCTCCTAGAGTACTTACTATTAAATTATCACTTAACATGTCGAAAGGAAAAGGGCAAAGAGGTGGAAAAAGACAGTGAAGCGCCGTCCTCGCCTAGCTCTAGTGTCACGCTAGCCGAAATTAGCGCCCTGCACGAGGAGCTCAGAGCCTCTCTGGCCGCGGATTTTAAAGCCTCTTTTAAAAGCTTGGACAGTAAGTTGGACAATATTAACTCCACAGTCGAGATTAACAATATTAGCACAATATTAACACAATATTAACTCCACGACCAGTGCATCAGTTGTCTTAAATCAGGACTCACGGAGGTGACCCAGCACCTTGAACACCTCGAGACCGCGTGCTCCGACCTCCCTAAAGAAAATGAGTGGCTGCGGTCTAAAATGTCAGACCTAGAGGGGCGCAGCCGGTGGCAGAATATTCGCATCGTGGGGCTCCCCGAGTCAATCGAGGGACCGCAACCAACTAACTTCTTCTACGAAGTGCTTGCTGAGATTTTTGGCTATCAGATTTTAGCATCACCGCCTGAACTAGACAGAGCGCACCGAATTCCCGCTCCCAAGCCTGCCCCAGGACAGAGATCGCTTCCTGTGGTTTTGCGGTTTCACCGTTACCAGGTGAAGGATTTGGTGGTTCGTGAGTCCCGTAAAAAGGGATTTTGACCTTTTCTCAATCATAAGATTCGGATATTTGAAGATTACAGCCCAGATGTCCTAAAGCTACGCAGTGAATTCAAAGATGCCATGGCGGAGCTCTACAAGCGCGGACTCAGACCTGCTCTTCTCTTTCCAGCTAAACTATGCATCACTCTACTGAACGGTGAGTAACTATGGCTGCTGACAGCTAACGAAGCCAACAACTACATTCAGAACTTAGACGTATATTAGTTCACCTCTATGCTTTGGACTATGACATGACATGACATAAACACATCTCTTGTTATAAACTGCTTGGCGCTTTTTTTACCTTTTTTTCCCGTAACACTTATGCCACTTCAAGGACTTACTACTGGGTGACTAACGTTATTCGATGTACTCTCACAGAAGTTTGTTCGTCGTGATGCAATGTGATTTATTTTATTTATTTTTTGACAATTCTATTATTGCTTTTTGATCACAATGGTGACTCGTTCTTTTCACCTTTTATATTTTTCATGGACGATGATATATCATCGTG